TGTTCACCTCTCTCCTGAAGTTGACTGTTTTCTTCTAGCTTTTATACCTTTTATGTCTGTTATTGATGGAACAGATCGTGGTCGTGTACGAATATCAAATATAATTGGTCTATGAAGTCATGAAATCATAAAATGAGTTCTTTCTTCAATAATATCTAGTTGAATACCTTGAAAACGATCAAAAATAACATCTCGATGACCACCATCAACTAGAATAAATTTATATTTAAAGAAAATAAGTTTTTTTTAATCTTTTCATATTTACCGTTATAAAGCATAGAATTAATCACACCACCAACAATAGCTAAACAAATACCAATTCTTCCTAAAACACCAAATTCTTCTATCGAAATAAAATATTATTAAATAAACGAGATGAAGCCATTGTCTTTTTTTTTCTTCTAAAAGAAAAACATGCATAATTATAATCAAACTAAATTTGTTTAGTTGTTTTGTTTTTATTAGCAAATAGTTTCAAAAAACAAAACGAAACCATATGAAAATTCTTCATATCTCTATCGATAGAAAAAGAAAATGCATCACTATTTAATCTATCTATGTACTACAATAACAAACCAATGTAATATATACATAGAAAAAGATTAAATAACAATAAAATTTGAAAGCAAAAAAAAAAAATACATGCCTACTTTTAAATAAATCGAAATCCACTTGAAAAAATGTGAGCACCGTTTTTTATTTTAGACGAAACAAAAGAAAAACAAAACGTGTATAAAGTTTAGCATCGTTCAGATATTGTTCACCATTGGGTTTCAATGAATTTGATGTATCACTGTTCTTTGCTACTGCAGCAGCAATTGCTTCGGGTGCTGGAACAGTCTATAAAGAAATTATTTATATCATAGGAAAAAAAATGTTTTTCAATTACTATAATTTGATTTTGTTGGAAAAAATTGTTGTGGAAATGATGCACCATCAACACGAAAATCTTCAAGATTTTTATGGTTTTTTAAAATTTCTTCAAGTTTTAGATTGATTTTTGGTTTTTGTCGAGAATATTTTAAAAACGCCCAGAATTTTTCTAAACCATATAATTGACCTAAATAGAAAAATTATTTTTGTTATTGACACTTTTCTTTTTTTTTTGTGTGTGTAATCTATTTTATTACCAGCTTCATGATCACAAAGAGTTTCTTGTTGAAAATCTTCAAATACATGTTGACGAAAATGTTTTTCTAGATCATATGTATAAAATCGAAATAGACATTCAACACCATATCTATACATAAATAATAATATTCAATTTTTTTCTTATTATTTTTCATAAAAACAATTCATTCATATGCCGTTGATCAATTTTAGTATCTTCATTAGCATATTGTTTAAATTCATTGTACATATGATGATTAAAATTTTTACATAAGAAAAATGACTAAAAACGATAGAGTATATTCATTTCCATTGATTGACCAGGGCCAAGTTTAACGCGTTCTAGAGATTAGATCATTACAGAAAACAAAATGTATTTTATTTGTAAATCAACATAACTCTAGATTATAAATATTTTCTATGAAATAATAAAGTTTGGCGATTAGTGAAACTTAGTGCTTTTAATCATTGATGATTATTTTATTGCTTTTCAAATTTATCATGTAGATAAGAATGATAGTATTTATTAAAAAAACTCCATAGAAGAGTAAAATCTTTGTTTTTTTTTGAAAATTATAGCAACAGACATATTCTCTATTAGCTATTTAAATCAGAATACAAGTATTTTTAGACTCTGATTTGTACCGGAGAGTAGTTTTCGCTGTTGTTTTTAGATATGTTGACTCTTCTTTAGTCATTAAAAAACTCGTTTTTTATACGTTCAATGCAACATAATTTCAATCTTTCTTTACCAGTAGCTTGTTTCTCTCGAAATATTGTAAATATGTACTGAACTAATAATCTTTTTTTTTCTCTACAATATCAATGTTTCTTTTTTATCATCAAGATATTCTTGTTTATATATACGGTAAACTTGTTGGGTAAAACCATTTTGTTTTAAAAGTGTATGAGATGAATGTTGAACCATAAAAATCATATGAATTTGAATTATTTCCATGCCAATAATGTGAATCACTGTATGATGATGAATATTGATCATAGAAACCTTGTTGTCGAGTTCTAAATAAGTAAAACTCATTTTATACTAATAATAATTGACATTCAATTGTTTGTATTAGGAACAAAAAATAAAAGAAAATTCGTCAAAAAAACATGAAGCAACACAAGTTATTTTTTACTATATCCATTTACCTTACCCGTATTGAACGATAAGAAACATGATCTTATTAAGTGTAATAAGTAAAGTGAAAGCAAAACGTTTAGAAACGCAGTATTTTTGACTTGTTTTCTTAACGATAATAATTACTATCCATTTCAAACTATATTGTGCCCCGTTGTTTTTTAAAACAAATAGTTAATGTATAAATGATAATGATTCTATCATCTTCGGCCCACACCCTATATATATATATAAGATGAAATTTATTTCGTCGACGACGGCATGATATTGATGTACGCCAGACGAGAAAAAA